GTTGATGATACCACGCATATCTATCCTTTTTTGTTTTTAATAAACGCTAATCTAGACTATATTTTTTCTAGTGTTTTCCAAACTATTTTTTTCCCTGTAAACGAAGTACTTCAAAGATGAAAACAGGCTCATAAAACTACCGGCATTGTAACAGTAGTTTCCGGCATTTGGATCTGCCTTAGTAGAGTATGAGTAAAACGATAGCAAAGCTAATTTACAATGTATCAGATGATATCAAAATCATCTGATACGCTTCACCAAGTTTAGTAATTACACAAAGAAAAACAAGGTGTATTTTTTTTCTTCATCTAAACATTTCCCATTTAAAACATTGTTATTGTAATAGAGTAAACATCGTGTGTTTCGATTAGTTTTTTGCACTTTCTTTAATTTCCGGGCGAACATAAAGAGAGATTTTCCTTTACGGAAATATCAATGTTGTGTTTTTGTACCCTCTAACTAGACGCTTGATTACATTCAATTGTCTGAAAAGGTATCGTTTATATTCTCATTTGTCAGCGATGATCTACACAATTACTTTTTTTTCTTCTATTTTTTTGGCAAATTATACGAATGAATGGTTTTTGTACAGCTTTTTACTTCACAGAGCATTTGAAAAACTTAGTGGATGAAGCAGATGAGTGACATTTTCTGGGGTGTTAATAAATCAAAGAAAATAAAGTTGCCTCCTTAATAAAGGTAAATTTAACACGTTAAATGCGCTAACTTAACATTGCTTGCCTGTCTGGCCAAACGGTAAATAACTACAAACTAAATTTGCAAATATTAGACAGATTTTGCTAGTTTTTTAAAAGTTTTAGCGTGACATATCTTATAAAAGTGGTGAATTTAATAAGTTTACGAATTGTTTAGTGGTGGATTAGTGGAGAAATAGTGATGGATAAAAATGTACTAAATTGAATTTATTAAACCAAGAATCTCAATTAATAAACTACCACTTGAAAATATTTATTCGCTGTCCCGAGCAAGTTGGCATCTCTGTGTATATGTGACCGGCAAAGTAGGAAATGCCGGCATTATATATAATGCCAGACGTTTTTAGGCAAAGTATGAAATATGAGAAGTATTACATACTTTGCCTAGGCATTATATGTAATGCCGGATGCTATTTAGGCAAAGTATGAAATAAACGTCCTGATGAGGTTATTATGTAAATGATGTGCATGTTACTGTGAATGGCCGAAATCGGTGGTTGTTGACTTTCACCGGTGAATGTTGACAATCGCATAGTCACTTTGGTTAATGTCCGAAATATTTATTACATCCGATTTGATATTAATTTATGCGTCGATATAATTACATTTATTCGATATTTTAATACTTACTGACGATAGATTAGAAGAAGCATCAGTGTTTGGAGTATCGGGCTAATATATACCGGGCAGTGGCTGACCTTAAAAAATCATCAGTGTAAGGTATACCGGGCAATGGTTTTTTAAGGTCAAGTGCCACTGCCCGATATACATTTGCCAAGTATACCCTACACTGATGTTTTTTAAGGTCAACGGCCACTGCCCGGTATACATTTGCCCTTTATATCCAACACTGATATTTTTTTAAGGTCAAGTATCATTGGTCGGTATATATTTGCACGATACTCCAAACACTGATGTTTCTTCTAATCTATCGTCAGTAAGTATTAAAATATCGAATAAATGTAATTATATCCACGAATTAATTAATATCAAATCGGATATAATAAATATTTCGGACATTCACCAAAGCGACTATATGATTGTCAACATTCACCGGTGAAAGTCAACAACCACAGATTTCGGTCATTCACAGTAACATGTACACCATTTACATAATAACCTCATCACGACGTTTATTTCATAGTTTGCCTAAATAGCATCCATCATTATATATAATGTCTCGGCAATGTGTGAAATATAAATCATTTCATACTTTACCGGCTAGTTTTAGGCATTGAATATAATGCCGGATTTCATACTTTGTCGGTAACATATATAAATAAAACTATTTTTGTGTGTTCCATATAGCATTCATTTCTTCAAACCATTTTAGTAACGATAATAAAATAAAACAATTAAAAATTTACTCGAATTACGTGTTCCTAATAATCTTGGCTACGTCGGTCACCGGTGACCACGTGGCCCTTCAAAAACTCAGTGCTGGTCACCGATGATCCCCATAGCATTCAACATGTTAATACAACAGAATTGTTTTTGATTTCACTTTAATTTCAACATATCTAATTCACGTCAGTTTTGAGTATGATTGCATCACTTTTATTTCAAATTAGATATGAGACCAAGAATAATTAGTCCCACCTTTTATAATTAAAAAAAAATTATAATAAATCAATAATAAAATAGTTTGAGAGCCGCTTTTTTCTTCTTGTCCATGATTATAACCGCTCTATAAATTTCACCCACCTAATTTATCCCCTCAGCTCAATGATAACCATCAATTTCTTTGAATTAAAATTCATTTTAATTAAAATTGAATAATGTATTAAAATGAATTAAAATAATGTGATAAAATGAATTAAAATTAATTTTGCATAAAATTGATTGATAAAATAAAATTGCATTATGGTTGTAAATAAATTTGAAAAAATGATGTATTAAATAGAAAATTTGGGCTACGCATTATTTCTTGTTCCCGTTTAATTTGCTTTTCTTCGAAATAGATTTTTTTTAATCTAGTTATTCTGTATAAAATTTTAAATTAAATTGCTTCCCATAACAACATGTGGAGTGATTAAATAAATATTCCCAAAAAAACTGAAACGGTAATTTTTCAATTGATTAAAAAAGTTAATTATTCGCTTAACCCAATACTTGATTCAGGAGTTCCCTTGTCTTCTGGATTGGGCTCAAAATTACAAGGTTACTGAGTTGAACATTGGTAGTCGTAAACCCGAAAAATTGGGTCCGGTGTTCAGCGATGGCTATAAAATAAATTAAAAATATTGCAAAAAAATTTTTTTATTAGTTTTTTTGAAATTCTAATTTAGTATTCATAGCATTAGCAATAGAAGGAAAACAGTTGTCAAGCCACTTATCTGGGAATTAATCGTGAAGCACTTACGTTGTTTTTTTTTAATAGCACAGCAGTATTAACGTCCAGTGTTTACTTACTTTGCACATGAAATCCAATTACTGAAACATTTTACCAATCAGGAAAAGAGCTTTTAAATTATCATTATTTTTCCTGCTATTGCATTATTTTCTCACCTGATACATGTTATTCTTCTTAGGAATATTAGGATAATTAATAAAGTGTACGAATGTTTCGATAGGCAATTTACACATGACAGATTTTCTTGCCATTATTAATTTTTAAGAATTTTAGTTTCTTGTCAGAAAACTTGACAAATTTTTAAAAATAAACTAAAATTAAACATAGTTTAATTCTCTGTGATAAAATAGTTTCTGTAATTTCAGCATAGTAATACTTTAATCTATTTTGGATAAATTTGTATCTTAAAAAAGAGGAGAGTAGTCGAAACTCTACTCCTCCATCGTTTTAACTACTAAAACACGTGAAAAATGTAATTATTTCAACTTCTTTTATAATGTATCAGGGTTCCCACGGTCCTTGAGAATTTTAAAAAGTGGTAATAAAAATAAAAGAAATTTTGACATTTTTATTTCTGTGTAGCCACCACTAAAAGTTTTTTTCTAAAAAATATGTATATGCACGAAAATTTCAGCACTTTACGATAAAAAAGTATATTAAAATAAATAAGTATATTGTAGCTCCACCCTAAATTTGCTACCACTTCTTAAATTTTTCAAGGACCGCGGGAACCCTGTGTACGTAATCTTGATAATGTTTTTGTATGAACTAACAAATTCTTATGGTTTAAAAGAGGCTCGAATTGTTCTTAAAAAATTAAAAAATGGTGACAATATATTAATAAAAAAGTGAAAAATGTTTTTTCTTAGCTTTCAATTTAATAATAAAAATACAAAAACTGAGATTTTGTTCCTAATTAAGATCTAATGAGAAACTAAGTCTAGTGGCAGACGCAAATTTATAAATTTGCATTTTTTTTAAAACTTTTCCTACCACTTTAAAATTTTTTTAAAGTCATTAAAATTTAAACTTATATTTATTTAGAATTCATCTAATATAATTTTCAATAATCTCATATAAGTGGAGAAAAATAAACCAAATGATATTAAAAAGTTAAAAACATGTTAATAACATTTACATTGAAATGTGATTATACTTTACGTTTCTTTCTTCCAAATTTCTTCTGCATGCTTCTGAAATTCAAAACCTATTTAAACCCTTTAGATATATTTCCCCCTTTAAATAACCATCATATCTTAAGATGTTTATTAATGTAATTCAATTTAATATTAAAATTAACTATTCTCAAAACTGCATTAAAGATACGGTAATATAGTTTTAGAATCTCATTAGTATGAATATCAAGTATTTAAATAGAGTACCAGTCTTTATTTCGATGCTAGAAACTAAACAACTCAATACATATTAAATCACTATATATGGGGTTTTGACGTTCGGCTGATCACTCAACCAGAACATCTGCTCCCGCACTCCAGAGCCCAAAGTCAAGAAAATAGGGAAGAGCACAGTAGGCCATGGCCCTCCATGAGCTGTCACGCTACATTTACAAGAAATAAATTACATATACAGAAAATGAAGTGAAATATAGAAAAATTATCATAATTGAATCATTTTTATTACTTTAACGTCATTTTATAAAAAAAATTTTAAGCTTTAAATATTTTATTTCATTATCTGGATTTTTACGTTTTAGGTTAGTTTCTTTTTAATGAAAGCATCTATTGTCTTCTTATTAAAAGCAATATTTCAATAATAATTTTCTTTTATAAGAAAAAAATTAAAAATTCTAGCTAAGCTTAATTATTTTAAAGTATTAAAGTATTTATCAAAAATAGTTAATCAAAATATTTTTTCAAATGTCAAAATTTAAATATAATTACTCACCAATTAACCTAAAGAAAGACAAACTGTTACAAAAATATACATTTATTGATTTTGAAAACACAAATTTGTATTTAATAAATTAATGACAACACGCAACTCCTTAGTGAAGACAATTTAATATTTTTTCACTATGCAGAAGGTCTACGTAGCTTATTTAAATCTATTAATGATATCTGTGTCCGTAACCATAAGGTCTATGCCCAATACCACCTCCAAGACCTAGGCCTCCGCCAACTCCTCCATGAATACCGCCATGAATTCCACCGCTCATTCCACCTCCATGTCCATATCCACTATGACCGTGTCCATATTCACGATGTCCATGTCCGCCTTGGGCATATGAACCATGGTTGTAAGTGCCACGATCATAAGAGCCGCGATCATAACTTCCTTGACCGTAACTTCCTTGGTTATATCCACCATAACCTTGACTGCCGTGGCCATATCCTCCAAATCCTCGTATGCCATGTTTTCCGGTCAATACTGATGCAATGGTTGCTGGAGCTCCATTGACAGCAGCAATAAGGGCAACCAGTATGGCCAATAAGATCTAAAAAGAAATTACTTAAATATAATACTCGCTGATGAGTGTATCTAAATTATCATAGCAAGACAAAAAACGAATTTTGCATTTTGACTTAGCACCCCGCACGCCATTACCTCCTACATCAGCAAGCTTCCACACGGTTTCTTATAAATAGACTGCGCAGACTATTTAAAAAGTGAATTAGTTGTGCGCATGAATCCAAATTCTTTTTTAACCTCATGGGAAAAGGTGAATCAGAAAAGCATTCGTGCAAAATCAGAATCAAGTTGTGTATTTAAATAAAAAACGGTAACTTAAATGTAGTCGTTGCTAATTTGACAAACTTACTTTGCTTTTACTTTAATTATTGTTAGTTTAATCATACATATAATCAGTGTTAATTCAAAGTATAACTAAATAGTTTTATTTTGAACAAAGTAATAGTGAATTAAATAAATCAGACAATTATAACTCTGCCCACAAATAAAAAGAATTACTTTGATTACCAGTTTTATCTTTTTACTTTGATTGATATAGTTTTATGCTGGCACGTATTTGTGACAGTCGGCGCGAAAGGGTTAAAAGTAATGGAGAGAAATTTATCATACATATTTAAAAATGGAATCTCTAGTGGTTGACTAGTAAATGAGACAAACCAATCATATTCAGAAATTAAACAAATTTTTAGACATATATTTGTTACCACTATCTTGTTTTTACTAGATTTCGTAATAAGGGCTTCTTCATACCTGCCAACTTTTAATCCCTTCCATTATCATTTTTCCCAGTGGTATTAAAGTGGTATTATTTTAAGCAAACAAATACGTTGTATTTGAGAAAACTTAAGATGACAACCATGACAGTAACGCATATTAATATATGTGCTTAATTTTTGTAAGAATAGTGGTGATCAAAATGATTTAAAAATTGTTTATAAAAGAAAAAATAGTATATAATTACTACCACTTTAAATATGAAAATAAAATCTTCAGGAAAATCCGGAAGAGTTGGCAGGTATGTTTCTTTCGCAAATCTGTTAATCATTATAATGATCTGATCGGACTACGTACCAAAAACAGTGTGGAGGTTTTAAGTTACAAGAGGTGTTGCACACACTTAGGAAGGAATATTCTGTATAAGCTCGGTAGGAAAATCTGAATGTTTAGTAGTTGCTGATCATGTGTACTTGAACGTGTGGAATGCTAAAAAAATTGTGAACTTTTTCAACACGTTCACGCTGGGGTGACCCACCGGTGGGTCACGCTAGATTGTCTCATCTTGGCAGCGCATCGGAGTAAAAACTGGTAACAATAAATTTCATTTTTTAGTTTTTTTCCGGGAATAATAAAATTCATAACTGCCAATTGTTTTTAACGGATGCAATTTTTATATTGAATTGCTTCTTCGCCGTGATAAATTTCCTTACAGTGAGTTGTTATTGTTGAGAATAGATTAACTCCTCTCGAATATTATCTAATATTGAAATAGTTCTTCTACCAGTATTTTCTCTTTTCCCGTACCATTTTTTTTCCTTTTCCCGGCGTGAACGTGTTAAATTCCCTTCCCGTCCGGTTAATTTACTTTATCCTTTTAAAGAAAGAACCATTGAGAAATCTCCAACCAATCTGTGCTCTTGAACATCTGGATCGCAAGGAGATTTAAAAAATTTTGTGAATCTTCAAAATATTGCTCTTAATATGAATAATCTTAAGAGAGAGAAACGAATTAATTATTAATAATGTAGCTTATTATCATGTCAATTTTCTAATTCCCTATTAAATTAGTTAAAGTACTGTATTAAAAATCAGCTTTAGGGTTTTTGTAAATCATCAAATTAAAATAAGATGGCTCAAGAAAGTAATTTTGACTGCTTTCTAATTTCAATTAGAAAAACAATTATGTATATAATGGCACAATTTCTTAGAATTTCGTGACTTTTTGTACAACTCATAACTTTTTATTGTTAATATATACTTATAACTTTTTATATTACTGTAAATAATAATAAAAATTAATTTTAAAGAAATTTCTTTACACTTAAGTTATTCTTTCACAATCCAGTAATTTCGACTGCTTTCGGGCAATATAGGTATAAACTAAGTTTCAGTCTTTCTAGTGTTAAAAGGGTCATTACCCGGAAAATGTTATAAGAAATAAAAGATAAAAAGCTAATGATTAAGATCTACGAAATATCGTTTTTATTTGTTTACAACTCTATTTATTAGTTGATTCATAACGTATAACAAGTTTCTAATTCCAATTATTCGAGGGATTTACTTTAAAACAATTGTAGGCCATTACGTTTAAAGTAATTATGATAAGTGCATTTATCTTATTTCTTTATAATCCTTTATTTACACAATTCCATGACTGAAAAAGATTATTTTTTAAGTAAATAAGTTCATTAAAATGAGTTAATAATATTTGTTATAAATAATGTAAAAAACTGTTGTATTTACAATGTAGTACAAACTAAACAAAATTCCGTTCCACAGACCTATATACTAAAAATACATTAATTTTTGGTGAAATTTTTGAGAATTAACTATTTTAGTCTACTAGACAATGTATACTATTTCTATTCCTTTTCTATAAGTTATCTGAAACACGCAATGATAAACATTCTTCATGCACAGAAAAAAAAACGAAGATAAAATTACCGTAAGGTATGGTAATAACTTTTCTGGTAAAAAAAACAACATAATTCTGGTTTATAAAAGCGAAATATACGGTATTTAAGTCATCATTCGGTAATTTTCCCATACATATTGTAACGATGAGCAGGAAATTCAGGTTTTCAAAATTATAGATCTTATCACCACACATTTAGCAAAAATTATTAAACTGAGAACAAATTTAAGCAAACAATTTGTTTTTTTTTAATATAATTTACAACATTTTTTATTTTATGTACAAACATTTTAATATAACCAAATTCTACCAAGTTTACCAAGTTTCATCACTTATTATAAAACCATATTTTACTGTTTGTTTTACTACAATGACTACTAAAGTTCTTCTGTAAAAAATGGCTGTCCCTATACAGCCAATTAATTTGCCGTATTCTAGTAGTCATTTTATTTTATAACCGTTGTTAAACAGCCTACCCAATTTTGGGCTCATGACTACTGATGTTCAACTTCGTGGGCTTGTAATTTTGAACCCAACCCAGAAAACAAGGGAACTCCTGGATCAAGTATTGGGAAAATTTGACTTTCTGGCGGACTTTTTGATGAACTAACTTGCCTTTGCGTTACATGGAGAGGAAAACCACGAAAAACTATCCCGGTTAGTTAGACGGCAACCCATGATTCGTCTATCCCATGATCCGTCTACCACTGAGGATATTTCACGGATCCACCACTATTTTGAGGATATTTAAAAGTAACCAACTAAAAAAGTAAATAAATAAAAAAGAAATTAAAAAAAAAGAAACTTGGAAACAAAAAATTTCTAGAAAAAAGTCTCTTAAAACGCATTTTCAACATATTTTACAGTTATTCTTAAGTTTGTATACATATTTCAATTCTTTAAAATTATTTACATTAACATATCTTTCTTGATCTAATCTTATATCTTGATCTGTGTATAAATATTATCCACAAACGAACAGAAAGAAATATAAATAAGTTAAATAGGAAAAAATATTTTTCTGATTATTTACATTTAAGCAATTAATTTGAAAAATCTACAAACGTAGCCGTAAAAAAATGGATAAAAACACAAGAAACAATATTTCCAAATAAATATGTTTAGACCTGTAAAGCATGTTTTTACACATATTTCACAGTAATCCATATTTTAGTCTACACATAAGAAATTGATATATTATACACATTAGCACATTTTTTAAAAATTACTTATGAGCCTGAAATTAACTGCAGATTTAGGAATATTGTATAAAAGAAAGAACGAGTGAAAGATAAGTTTTCATTCATTAGTTATAAAAAGGAAATAAATTAAAAAAAGTCAATAAGTTTGATCGAGTACAAAAATTTTAAATGAATCCAGAGAAATTTTCAAAATCACCAAGCACTTAAATTATAAACTTAAAAAAAATTAAACTACCGACTATTTTTATATTACGATATTAAAGTGCTAAATATACTCACAGAAACGATGTGCTTCATATTGAAATGTAGTGGTATCCACAAAAAGACTTCTAAATAACTTCGTGAGGGCTACTTTTTATACAGAATGCTAAATTCTTCTGTGTGCAATAGAATATCTGACTCACAGATAATTCGTGACGTCAACTTTATACCTGAGGTCATTGGATGAGGAGGCTAGCTATTTGACCTCAGGCCCCTTTTGCATCTGACCCCCTCCCCAACTAAACTTTATCTCTATTTGAATCGCCCCTTATGGGGATCTTGCATAGTTGGTGGGAAATGTGGACCCTCAAACAGGATATACCTATTTCATATTGGATTTATCATTGCTTACGCAGTGGAAATTTATCGAGAAAATATTTGTCATCAGAATCCGGGTACCTTAAAATTGTATGAGAAAAGACAAAACAGATTAAAAATTTTCTTTACAGTGAAGCAAACAATCTTGAAAATTACAAGCACGGCAATTATATTTCAGATACTTTGCTTCAGCTATTAGAGTGCTGATCAGCTTTCTCAAGATTAAAAGTTTTTAATGAGATATTAGGGTTTTTCATATATATTTTTATGACTAAAAATTAGCCGGAAAGCCATCAACTTTCTAGTTGGATAATAATTCTTTTTATTAATAACATTCTCCAGCATAATTTTAAGCTAGTGAATACTTAGAAAAATGACAGCAATTTTTTATTAACCGTACTGAAGTTGCGGAATTTGAAATATTTATAAAATGCATTTCAGTTAATAAATTGGTAGTGTGTAAAAATTAAACTTTCATATTTCTTATACTAATACTTGACCTTCTTTTAANAATAGAGAGACAAGCAAAAACCTGAACAATGATTTTTTTAAAATTATTTGTACCCACTATACATGCAAAAAAAAATCGTTTTTCTTCTTCTCTTTTTTTATGTCAACAAAAGTATTATATATATATATATATACTTTTGTTGACATAAAAAAAGAGAAGAAGAAAAACGATTTTTTTTTGCATGTATAGTGGGTACAAATAATTTTAAAAAAATCATTGTTCAGGTTTTTGCTTGTCTCTCTATTAAGTCCTGCAATTGGAGATGACACAGTGCCAATCATCTTCTAAAGATTGCAATGATTTGATTGCAAACAGAGAAACAAAGTAGGGTCAAAGCTACCAGAATATGGTAACATTGACCATGTTTCTGACTCCATGAGAACACAGAAAAACTTGACAATATTTACCGATGCACAATAATGATTTTGGTAAAATTAACAGTGAAATATGGTTTGTAATTTGTGATAAAGCTTGGTAAATGTGGTAAAATTTGGTAATTTTCTCATGATATCTTAGAGCATGGCATAAGAACCTTTTATTCGGTTAAATTTACTTTTCAATTTTGTATTTTTTAAATGTGTGGTAATAAAAACTATAATTTTGGAAGCCAGAATTTCCGGTAAATGCCTACCATATGAAGTATATATTTCACCAAAATCTTTTTCACCTTATAGTACGGTAATTTAACCAGAATTTTTTTACGTTTATGAAAGAAATTGTAAAGAATGTTCTTCATTGCTTTAGTTTAAATAAAATTATTAAATGGATTACCAAATAATTAAGCTAACTTATGGAAAAGAAATAGAGATAATCTACATTGTCTCATATCTTGTTTTAAAAAGTTTACCAAATATTAATGCCTTTTAAATATATTGGTCATATAATCTTAATTTCGTTTAGTTTATTCTCTTATTTTCTAAAAAAATTTGACCACTTTATAAATACACCAGTTTTTCCATTAATTATTTATAACAATATATTAATAACTAATTTTAATTAGCTTATATTGTATTTCCATACTAATCTGTTTTTCTCAAGTATTAGTTAATTCTATGTGAAAAGGATTATAAAAGATAAGATAAAATAAGATAATAACCTTATCCTCTTTATTACTCTAAGCAGGATGAACTACAATTGTCTAAACATAAATCTCTCTAATATTTTGAATTAGAGACTGTTATTTGTTATGAATAACAGATAAAAACTAATAACGAATAAAAACTAATAGGAAATAAAAACTAATAACAAATAAACTAATTAAATAAACAAATACCAATTTAAAACTAATAAAAATGAATAAAAACTAATGACAAGTAAAAACTAATAACTCGAATTGTAAACAAATAATAACGAAATTTCTTCGACCTTAATCATTATCTGTTTATCTTTCATTTCTTATAATATTTGCAGAATAATGAGCCTATTCAGATCATTTTATTTTTGAAGATATAGAAAAAAACATGAATCTGTTTTTTATACAGTACTTAAGTAATTTAATTAGAAATTAAATAATTTACATTGATAATAAGTAAAATTTTTTATCAGCTTTTTGTACAATCATTTAAATTTAGATTGGTAATTAGAAAGAATATTTATAAATAAGTTATATTTTTATAAATTAGTTTGTTTCGGTTTATTAAGATTATTTATATTCATATTAAGAGAAATAAAAAGAAAATATTTTGTAGATTATCACAATAATGGGCAATATTTCATATTATTCTTGAAATAATTAAATTGGTAATTAGAAAGAATATTCATAAACAAGTTACATTTTTAATCATTAGTTGGTTTCTATTTATTAAGATTATTCATGTTCTAACTAAAAACAATTTATTTTATTTTGAAGATTCAGAAAAACACTAAGCAGTTATTCGCACAGTACTTTAAATATTTAAATTTATAATTAGAAAGAATATTTATAAACAAGTCACATTTTTAACAATTATTTCGCATATGTTTATTAAAAATTTTCATATTCATGTTAAGAGTAACTTATTTTATTTTAAAGATTCACAAAAACATTAAGCAGTTTTTTTTGTACTGTTTTTTAGTTAATTAAAAATAAGTATTAATAAATTAATAGTAAGAATTAATAAATTAATAGTAGTACTAGATATGTATTAATAAATTAATAGTAAGAATTAATAAATTAATTGTAATTCTAGATATGTATTAATAAATTAATAGTAAGAATATTTAGCAAGAAGTTACTCTTATAAAATTTCGTTAGGATTAAATTCTATGAAATTTTATGTATATGCATTATAATTCATTAAATTCTATATGTTCATTAAAATTTTATAGGGAAAAAACTTAAATATTATTGGTTTGGATATAATAATTTTAACCCAATAAAAAACAATTCATTGAAAAACCAAACTAAAAAGAGACATCAATTAAGAAACTGGTAGTAAGTTTTTGATTAAAAAAGGATAGGATTTATTTAATTGATTATTTAGCAAATCTAACATGATGCCTACACAAATTATGTTATAAATAATAGATGCGTTAGTTATCAATGCATTATCTTTTTCTGAAATAAACTGATAGTAAATTACTTTGGCCACTACTTTTTAATTCATTCGAAATAAACGATTCACTCACTTGTCAAATAAATGCATGTTATGAATGATGAAACGTGACTCTAAATTGTATATAAAACTGCTTCTTATATCATTATAAGCAAATTAAAATGAATCTTTGAATTTTAATTAACAACTAATTTTTAATTTTACCAAAATATGAGCAGTTTTTTTTAAAGATTAATACAAATACAAAATTTTTTTAATTGTTAGAAATATATATATATGTCTGTTATCGAACTGTCATCGTAAAGGACTGAGGTTCGATCTCCAGTGACGCCCATCCAAATTTAGATCAATTGGTACCAGTTAGTCTGAAATGAAAAGTATAGACAGCCTATTCACAGTGCTGCCCAAATTTCTACAATCATGCTGGTGGAGCTTTAACCTCCATGACCCCCTGGCCCACAATGGGCTGTGGTAAGAATACGTTTTGTTTAAAAAATAAGTATTAGAATTCTATAGTATTTTTTATAATAATTAAGGAATTTAATAGATGAAAAAGGATGATTTGAAAATATCTTCTTTAGAAAACAAAGCAACTGCAGGACGCTGTTTAATCCGGATATCTGCAAATCATAAGTCGTTGATGTTTACACAATTCGGAAGCTGCTTGTATTTATAAGTATAGCGAATGCGGTATGAGAGCAAAGGAAGCACTTTCTAAATTTCCTCAATTTGCTAGAAGTTTATTGCTTAACTGTTGATTTTTCGATTGATTCAATTCCTAATTCTCCTATGACATCATTATTCCTTATTTTATATATAAATATTTCTTTCAGAAAATTAAGCCACGATAAAAGAATTAAAATTTTGAAGAATAATAAAATATAATTCACGATTTTTACGAACTTAAGAAACATTTTTACTGAATGTCGTTTGATTGTCCTACAGTTCAAATTCTCAGTTTTTTAATGCATATTTTAAATGAATTTTTATTTTGATGGAAAAGGGACAACAAAATATTGTCGAACTGCAATTTATGTAATATCACAGATAAAGCTTGTATCTCATGTATATCGACCTAATCATGGCTGTATTCACTTCTTTTTTAAAGGCAATTTATGTAAATCATCGATCAAGTTGTACAAATTTCTAATCAGGGTTATTTTTATGTTACCACACTGTTACATAAATCAAAATGTTATATTCACTGTAATAATATTTTTAAGATGGATGGGATAGGGGCCGCTGCGTGGCCTAGGCACCCAGTTGTTTAAGTAAAGCAAGCAAGCAAAATATTGTCGAGGCAGCGTTATATATAAAGGTAAACATGTTGTAACTAACATATATTGGAGTATTAACTGAAAAGATATTTAGTTGTTGATTTAGTGTAAAAGCTGTGTTCAACAATTTGACGAAATTATCTTATAGATTGGTAGCGATTCCCTTAATGGAATTTTCGTTTATGAATAATTAAATATTTCATCATACTCCTTGAAAGTAAATGGAGGGATTATGTTATCTACAAAAGAAGACATTCTCAATTTCAGATAATCAAAACTTGATAAAGTGATAAATCTGCTAAGTGATAAATCACTGATTCTTAAAATGATAAGTATACGGTGAATTTAAATCTTACAACTTAGATGGAAACTTTTTCTGTTATATCTGCGCTAAGATAAATGGAATTTCTCTAATTTCAACAATCGATAAAAATCGAACTTTAAGAAATGGGTAAGGGATAATTTTCAAATGGATAAAGATTGACAATTTTAAATCTTGACTTTCCCCTTAAGCACATAATTGGACCTCCATTAAATTTTTGAGATTTAATTACTGACATAAATGTTTTAAATATCACTTACAACTGTTACAATTTTAAACGTAATTAAATGAAAAATTT